AGCCAATGAGGAAAGCTCGTGGGCTGTTCCTCGTTTGTCCATTCACCGCAGCCGTTGGCACGAAATTGGTATCTTCTGAACGAGTGCCCGTGCGCTGATAAAACAACGAGTGCACAGACTTCTGCTGCGTTGCCTTGAGATTGTCCATTCATCTTGGTTGAGCCGGGGCCGTGCGCCTCTCGCCCTCCCTTCGATCCCAGCGGCGGGTTGCGAGGCACCGGGAGGCGGCTCGCCGCTCTCGTTGGAAAAAGGCTTCGTCTTCACGGATGGCTCTGGGCCAGACGGAAGGTTCCCGACCCTCCTCCTCCTCCTCCTCCTCCTCCGCCTCGTCACAATCATCATCATCATCATCATCATCATCATCATCATCATCATCATCATCATCATCATCATCATCAGCAGCAGCAGCAGCAGCATCATCATCAGCATCAGCATCAGCATCAGCATCAGCATCAGCATCAGCATCACCACCATCATCAGCAGCATCAATATCAGCATCAGCATCATCATAATCATCAGCATCAGCATCAGCAGCATCAGAATCATCATCACCACCACCATCATCGTCATCATCATCGTCATTATCATCATCAGCAGCAGCATCAGCATCATCATCACCATGACCATCACCACACCATCATCATCATCATCATCATCACCATCATCAACATCATAGTCAACAGCAGCATCAACATCAACATCAACCTCAACATCAGCATCATCATCAGCATCAGCATCATCAGCAGCAGCATCAGCATCATCATCATCACCAACGTGCTCGTCCTCGCCTCCCTCACGATCATCACCACCATTATCGTCATAAGGCTGCTCATCCACCTGGTCCGCCACAATCCTCCTCTTAATATTCCTCCTCCTCCTCCTGCCCTCCTCCTCCTCCTCCTCCTCCTCCTCCTCCTCATCGTACACCCGTGAATTATCATCATCATCAGCATCAGCATCATGATCATCCTCATCATCACCATCATCATCATCATCATCAGCATCATCATCACCATCACCACCATCAGCATTCCCATCAACATCACCATCATCCTCATCATCACCTTATCATCATCAGCAGCAGCATCATCATCATCATCATCAGCAGCATCAACATCATCATCGTTGTCGTCGTCGTAGTCGTCGTCGTCGTCGTCAGCGTTGTCGTCGTCGTCAGCGTCGTCGTCGACGTCATATCATCCTCATCGGCTCGAGCAGCTGCAATTGAGAACGCTGGGCTTGCACGATGGCGGGACTTGCCGCAGGCAGCAGCACAGTCTTCTTCGTTCCAGCTTCTCGCCCACCTCGTCCTCCTCCTCCTCCTCCTCCACCTCTTTCGACTTCTCCTCCTCCTCCTCATCATCATCCTCCTCCTCGTCCACCATCCTGTTTCTTCCACGTCTGCCCTTTGGTTATGAGCTTCCAGGATCGGCGGCATATATATATGTATGTATATATATATATGTACACGCATACACATATACACATATACACAGATTTACATGCTATCTACATATACATACAATTAACATAAACATATACGTACACATACATACATACATTCACACGTACATTTATACACATGTATATTCCTCTTCCTATATTTTTATAAGCCCGGGCGGGGGGAAAACCCCTCACCCCCCCCTCAAAAAAAACCAGACTCCCGGGATCTGAGGCTTTGGGACCCTCCGCGGACGGGCCTCGAAGCGGCCCCCCGGGCCTCGCAGGGCGTTTTGCCAAGCCTTCCCAGCACACCTAGGGCGATCATGGGGGTCATCGGAGACGTCCCAGAGACCCCCAAGACAGCACAAGAACGCTCCAAGAGTGACCGACGTGACCTCGAGATGACCCAAGAGGCCTCCAGGACGGCCCCAACGAGGCCTCCAAGAGCACTCCCAAGAAGGCCCCAAGAGGCAAAGATCATTGATTTTCTATTGGTTTTTTGGTGAAGTTTGGGGTTCTCCTCTCTTCGGCTTCCCGACGTTCCAAGACGGCGGTCTTCTGGGCGTCCGAAGCCGCCTGGGAGGCTCCCGAATCGCCCCACAACCGTCCGAAAGGGCTTCCAGGCAGTCCAAGAGAGCCCCAAGACGGCACAACACGGGTCCAAGATGGCCCTCAGAGAGCCCCACGGCGGCCCAAGATGGCCGCAAGACACCCTCCGAAGCATTCCAAATCGTGACCCGGTCGTTCAGGGAGACCGCGGTTGGAGGCAGGGTGGCCCGAGGAAGCCCCGAGGCCCCCAGAATACGCCCAGGAGGCCTCCAGACAGCCTTAAGAAAGCCTGAAACAACTTTTGTGAGGCCCCCAGAGGCTCTCCAAGGAGGAGCCTCCGCAAAAAAGAGCTGAGGAGGATGGGGAGAATGCGCAGGGTATGGCGAACATGAAGCAAAAGGAAGCATGGAGGAAGCCGGAAAAGGCAACAAGGAGTTATCGCTAAATTGTCGGCTTGACCTTCCTGCTATTCCGCCTGCATACCAAACTTCAAAGACCAAGATGCATGGCGCGAAGCGCCATTGCAGTCTTGTACATATATATAAATCAGTACACATACATATACATATACATATACATGTACATATACAGATACATATACTGATACATATACATACACATATACATAGACATAGACATATAAATATACATATACAAATACATATCCATATACGAATACATATACACATACATATACGTATACGTGTATAAACATTTACAGATGGACATACACTTACATCTATTCAGAAACAGACACAAATATACACATACACACATTTGCATACACACATGTGTATATATATATATATACACAACTTGTGTTTGGGTCGCCATGTGCTACTTAGTGGTGGACGAACGTAGCATTGTATCATGGACATGTTCCTGGCCTCGACCTGCACCCTCCGCACCTTCCGCGGAGGGTGCCGCCACGATGCGGCCGCCACGGCCGCCGCTGCGGCCTCGACGATAGGCCGCCACTGCGGCCGCAGCGATGGCCGCGGCAGCGCGGCACTTGCTGCGCGGAGGGTGCGGAAGGTGCAGGTCGAGGGGATCCGGGCGTTGCAGCCTCCTCACGCCCGGCGTTTCCGCCCAGCCGCAGGCCCCGACGCCATCACAGGTCGGCCCAGCTCGAAAGGTGGCGCAGAAAGATGGGGTCTGGGGCTCTGGCCGTGCTTCCTCGCGATGCTGCAGTCTCTCTGCCACTTCGGCGTTCCAGGGCCCTCCGCGGGCGTCAGGACCAAGGAAGAGCGACACCACCACCGCCGGGGATCACGAGCGGGAGGAGCCAGAGGGGGTCCCCCTGGTGGCGTGGCCCCCTCTCGCTCGAGACGCCTCCCATCCCCAGCTCGGATCCGCATCGTGGACCTCCTCCTCCTCCTCCTCCTCCTCCTCCCTCTTCTCCTTCTCCTCCTCCTCCTCCTTCTCCTCCTACTCCACCTCCTCCTCCTCCCTCTTCTCGTCGTCCTCCTCCCTCTTCTCGTCCTCCTCCTCCGCCTCCTTCTCCTCCTCCTCAAGGCCCTGGGCGCAGGACCGGCAATCCCGCAGCGCAGTATCGTGCCCGGGAGGTCTCCGGAGGTCCCCAGAAAAACAGAAGTCCTAGCGGGCATCCCCGGGCGCCGGCGTCGTCAAAATCCAAAACGCGTCCAGATGCACCGAGCCTCGAGGCATTTGGCAGCACGGATCGCGAAACCCGCACGAGCGGCCACCACAGACCTGGAAGAAAATGCCCATTATATTTCCTTCTCTCGGACGCCTCCTGCCACGTACTATGATAGGCCTGCAAAGGCAAAATACCGGTATCCTGTTAAATCACACGACAGTGCTTGGCGAACTGGGGTGGGCGAGTAAATTTGGTGAGATGCGCGATGCAGTCGCCTATTACGACGGTCTCGACTGTGAAAGAAGACGTTGACGAGGCGTAAAACACTCTCTGGAAGGCGACTGGGAAAGTGTGTCGACGACTTTCCCTGATGACGACAGCAAAATGCCCATTCCCCCTGTGTTACTACTTCTATGAGTAAAATTATGACTCCTCTTCATCTTATCATGATTTTTATGTTTATTACTATGATGTTTTTTCTCCTTGTATAGGCTTTATCATTAATATTATTCGGATCCCTGCTCCTACACCTCTTCTGCTCATGTTCCTTTTTCGTCCACCTCTCCCCATCCCCATCCCCATCCCCCATCGTCATCACCACCGTCGTCATCACCATCACCATCACCATTACCAGCACCGTCATGATCATCACCAACACCATCACCATCGTCATCGTCATCACCATCGTCGTCACCCTCATCATCGGCAGCAGCGACAACACCGTTACCAGCATCACCATCACCAGCACCGTCACTTTCATCAGCATCACCATCAGCAACATCACCACCACCAGTACCACTACCAGCACCGTCATCGTCATCACCAACACCATCACCATCAACGCCAGCGCCAACACCACCGCTGCCAACGCCAGCACCATCACCACCATAATCACCAATCTTATCACCACCGTCACCACCACCAGCACAATCGCCATCACCAGCATCATCATCATCATCATCCCCATCACAACCACCATTCTCATCACCACCACCATCACCATTACTAACACCACTATCATCATCAGCAGCATCATCATAATCACGATCAGCACCCTCACCATCATCATCATCATCACCACCATCATCAACGTCATCGCCATCGCCGTCGTCATCCGCATCGTCAACACAACCAGCAAAGGGGTTGGATCCGCCTGGCTCAGGAAGGGGGGCCCTGACAGCTGGTTTCTAAACCTCCCAACGCCCCTGACGCGAGAATCCAGGAATCCTGCCGCCCCCAGACACCCTGGCTCCACAAGGCGTTCTCCTTCGCGTACGACGCTGAGGGGCGCGAGCGACCATCGTCGAGGGGCCTCTGCGCGACTGAATCGTCGCCCTGGCTGCCCGGCGGCCCCGGCATTGCCGCGCACAGCGCCTCTGAAGGCGCCCAGGAGCTAGAAATCGCCGGCCTCCAGGCACCAGAACAGGCGCGGCCACTGCGCGTAGACGAAGTCGGCCGCGTGGACGAAAGCGGGCCGCGCGCCCAGGGGCTCCGAAATCTGCGCCCAATGAAAGACAGACATCAAAGCCATGTCCCCGAGCGCCCGCTGGAAGCGCAGGCCTGCGCGGCGGTAGTGGTCGGCCACGCCAATCCGCAGCCGAAGGACGGTCCGCGGCGGCGCCGACCTTTCCTCCTCGCAGCCCTTGGCAGCGCCCGCCAGGCGCGACCGGCCCGGGCGCGGAGGGTCCTTCCCCAGGAGGACCAGGTCGGACGCCGCCGCGTCGATCTACGTCACCGAGGCCGCCGAGGCCTCCATCGCGAGCTGCGCCGCGTCTGCGGTGCTCTGGCCCGCGCCTGGTCAGCTCTTCGCAGCTAGATCCTGGAAGCTCCGCTCCCGCTCGCAAGCGCGGCCATCAATCAACGGAGCGAGGCGCTCGAAAGTGTCGAACGAGGAACCAACTCCATCGCGCACTAACATCACCAGCACGCGTCTCGAGGGAGACAAAACGCGAGGCGTCTCAGGGACTCGAACACCTGGCGCAGGCGACCCCATAGCCCCGGGGTGCCCCGCGCCGGCAGTGGGAGGAACTGATCGCGGAGCTGGCCCCGCGGCCAGGACCGCGCAGCGACCGGTCAAGGCCGCTGCTGCGCGGAGGTCGCCCCGGCCACCTTCTTCGGCTCCGCCACCCGGGCCCTGGCAGTCCCCAGCTAGGGGGGCCTCGCGGCCCGGTTTGGCGCGACCTCGTCGGCCGGGCGGCCGAAGCGCGCGACGGAGCGTCGAGGTCGAAGTCTCCGCCCCCTCGCGGCTCTCCGAGCGTCGGCTCCGGGGCCCCCGGCTCTCACTTTTTTCCTCCGGTCTTGCGCTCGCGCGCCCCGTGCTCCCAGTGGCCGCGCTTCGCGCGACGGTGGGCCGCCTGGCGCAGGCAGCGTTTTTTCTTCTTTTGGCCATCGCTCGGACGTCAATTTCCCGTGTTTTGTTCGGTTTCGTGCGTGTTTTTTTCGCCAGATGGTCGAGGATGCTCCTCGATGGTCGTCGCCTGAGGAAAAATGCGCACGTCCGAGCGATGCCAAGTCTTCGCGCAGGAGTTGAAGTCCGGGCACTTTTGCCGAAGGGTCTGCCTCTCGCTGGGCCGGGGCGGCGGGCCCCTCCTCCTCCAGCTCGCCCTCGCGGGGCCTGCCCTATTGCCGTCCGTGGCACTGCCCCGCCGGCAGGGGGCGCTCCTGCTCGCTCGCCACCTTCACGGCACCCGCCATGGCTCAGGACATGCGCGCGCGCCCGCGCGGCTCCAATGAAGCCGCCCGGACCCCCGTGGCCGCGTGCCGGGGAGGAGCGCTTCTCCTTCTCCTGCGGGAGGGACCCGTCCTGTCGCCCGAGACGCGGGAGACCGCCTCTGCGAACTCCGCCTTGACCAACTTCCACGCGGTGCGGGGGCGGCCGCGGACCAGGGCGTCGTCCTTGCAACTGCCCGCTCACGCACTGTCCTGCATCTTGTCCCGGATTTCCAGCTCGTGCCCTTGCTCTTCCTCCTCGCGCAGCGAACGATTCCTCCTCCCCTCCTCCTCCTCGCTTGGAGGAGGAAATCGAAGAAAGCGAGGAGGAGGAGGGGAGGCGGACGAGGTGGAGTTGTCTCGCGCAGCGAAAGAATTCGCACACTTGCTCGCCGACGCCGAGCCGAGGCCACCTCCCTCGGCCCGTGGGCGCCGAAGCGCGAACTCCTTCCGATCGGCAGGAACGGCTGCTTTGACTCCGATGCCCTGGAGCTCGGTCAAGCCGTGGCTGTCTCTGGCGCTGCGTTGGAAGAAGAGATCGGTTGCGGGAAGGACCCGCGGCGAACCGAGAGCCGAGTCTGTGCCCAGCTGGCTACGGATATGCTCCCACCGTGCGCCCTTCACCGAAGCTCAAGGGCCGAAGTCGCAGCGCGGCAGCCGGCTTGGGCAGCCAATCGCGCAGCTGGCCGGGGCAGCGGGCCGCCCAACTGGGAAGTATGCTGAAGGGAGCCTGGGGGCCTACCCAACGTGCCCGCAGCCCTCCCCCCTCCCTGCCCCCTCGTCGGCATCATCAAGCCGCCCCTTCTTCCTCCTCCTCCTCCTCATCCTCCTCCTCCTCCTGCTGCTCCTGCTCCTCCTGCTCCTCCTCCTCCTCCTCCTCCTCCACCACCTCCCCCTCCTCCTCCTCCTCCTCCTCCTCCTTCTCCTCCTCTTCCTCCTCCTCCCCCTCCTCCTCCTCCTCATCCTCCACCTCCTCTTCCTCTTCCTCCTCATCCGCTGCTCGCGGGCGCGGCGCCCCCGCCAGCCCTCAGGGGACGGCCCTGAGCATCAGTCCTGGGGGTCATGCACTAAACCGAAACCACTTTGGGCCGTTGCAGAATCCGAATTTATTATTCATCTGTCAGGAGGGGGGAGGAGGAGGAGGGGGAGGGGGAGGAGGAGGAGGAGGAGGAGGAGGAGGAGGAGGAGGAGGAGGTGGAGGAGGGGGGGGAGGGAGGCGCAAGGCCCGCGAGGCAGCAGGGGCGGCCCGGCAGGGGCGGGGACAGGAGAGAGGAGGGCCGGTCGGGTGCGTTGGCGGTCGGTTCGGCGGTGGTCGCCGTGGTCACGGCGCTGTCGTGCTGTTGATGGTCGCGGTCACGGTGCCCGTCGGCGGTGGTCGCGCCGGTTGTAGTGCCAGTCCTGGTCGTGGTCGAGGCGCTGGTCGTGGCGGTTGTCGTGCCTAGGGTCGTCGTCGTGGTGCAAATTGTGGCGGCAGTGGTTGTCATGTTGGTGGTGGTCGCGCCGCTGGTGGCGGACGTGGTGGTTGCCGCGCCGGCGGTAGTTGAGCTGGCGGCAGCGCGCTTACCGCCCCACAGCCGCCAAAATGGTCTCGGCGCTTCCGAAATGCAGCCGCGTGCTCAGCTGTTGCCAGCCATAGCGGATGACCTCTGTCCGCTCCGCGGGGGCCATGTCGTGGCCCCAGGAGCGGACGTACGCCACGGTGGCGTCACCCGGGCGGCCCCCTGTTTCGAAGACCGCAGGGATGAGCTGGCCCCCTTCGGGCGGGTAGCGCTCCCGCTTGGCGTCCTCGGCGCTAGTGGCGGCAAGGCCGTCCTTGTTGGAGCGGGCCTGCTGGCGCGGCGCGGTGCCGCTGTGTGCGAAGGTCACGCTCGTGTCCAAGAACACCGTCTGGCCGGTTACTGCGTCTGGCCTCCTCCTCCTCCTCCTCCTCCTCCTCCTCCTCCTCCTCCTCCCACTCCTCCTCCTCCCACTCCCTCCCTCCCTCCCTCCTTCCCTCCCCCCCTCCCTCCCTCCTCCCTCCCCCCCCTCTCGAACCACCTCAGGTCTTGCATCCGTCGCCGCGGACTTCCCCGCGTGACAACGTGTCCTCCCCCCCTCACTCTTAGGATCTGCTCCCCTAGGGAGCCCTCTGCCTTACGGCGAGTCGGCCGCAGCCTCAGTCCGACTTGGCAGGTGTCCAGACCACATCCCTAGGGTTGGTTTTTCGCCATGGGTAGTTTTTGGACGGTCCCGAGACCTGGCGAGGGCCCCGGGAGGCCGAAAACGGCCCCAACCCCGCCGCTCCAAGTCTTTTAGAAGGGAACAAACATGATACACATGCATTTTCGAGCTCCGCGCGGATCTCTTGGATCTGCGCTGGACCCCTCTCCCTGGCGCGCGGAGCGCGCCAGGGGCGGCGCCAAAGGCGCCGCCAGGGGGGCCCAGCGCAGATCCAAGAGATCCGCGCGGAGCGTCGAAAGTCCGTATGCTTATACGGCAGGTTCGTGTCGTGCCGACCCCAGCGTTGGTTTTTGACACCGCAGGGATCGTTCAACCTTGAACGATCGGCCGCTGCCGCAACGTCCGATCGTTCAGCATCGATCGATTCTGGGTCGCCGGCGGCGTTCAACCTTGAACGCCCGCGCTGGGGTCGCCGCTGGTCGACACGACGCAAACCTACAGTATGCTTGCAGCGATGTTCTGTTCTTCGACCTCTCGGAGCATCGGCCCTCAGGGCCCTTGTCCCCCCTCCCTCCCCTTGGCCCCCCCGGCACGGCACTCCGAGGGCGGCCGGCCGACCCCTCGAGCAGAGGGCCCCTCGGGGCAAAGCGCCTCGCGCACGGCGCGTATGGCCGACCAGCGCGCGGGCGCGTGGTGCAGCTCGCGGTCCCGCTGCCGGCCGTGCACCTGCGAGGCGGGCTTGTCGCCGCCCGTCCATCGCCGTCGCCGCCGCCGCCGCCGCCGCCGCCGCCGCCGCCGCCGCCGCCGTCGTCGTCGTCGTCGTCGTCGTCGTCGTCGTCGTCGTCGTCGTCGTCGTCGTGGTTGTGGTCGTGGTCGTGGTCGTGGTCGTGGTCGTGGTCGTGGTCGTGGTCGTGGTCGTCGTCGTGCTCGCCGTCCTCCTCCTCCTCCTCCTCCTCCACCTCCTCCTCCTCCTCCTCCTCCTCCTCCTCCTCCTGCTCCTCCTCCTGCTCCTCCCCCTACTCGTCCTCCTCCTCCTCCTCCTTCTCCTCCACCTGCTCCTCCTCGTGCCCCTCGTCTTCCTCCTCCTGCTGTTCCTCTTCCTTCTTCTCCCTGTACTTGTTCTTCTCCTCCTCCTGCTCCTCCTCCTCCTCCTCCTCCTCCTGCTCCTGCTCCTCCTCCTCCTCCTCCTCCAACTCATCATCATCATCATCATCATCATCATCATCATCATCATCATCATCATCATCATCATCATCATCATCATCATCATCATCATCATCATCATCATCATCATCATCATCATCATCATCATCATCATCATCATCATCATCATCATCATCATCATCATCATCATCATCATCATCCTTCTCGTCGGCGTCTTCGTCGTCGTCGTTTTCCTCGTCCTCGTCCTCGCTCTCTTCCTCCTCCTCCTCCTCCTCCTCCTCCTCCTCCTCCTCCTCCTGCTCCTGCTCCTCCTCCTCCTCCTCAAGCCCTTCTGGTTCGAGGTATAGGCCCCACCAGAGGGGGTTTGGGTCGTCTGGGACTAACTGATATGTTACACCAGAGCCCGCACCGCACCTCCCGTGGTGGTTTGAGGGCGCACGGGCATCGAACATTTTGTTTGACATCCCGTGCAGTGGCAGTGCAGACGGGCATCGCACAGGTTTGCCATGGCGAAGGCCAAAGCTCGTCATTGGACAACCTGCAAGGCTGGTCATACCCCAGAAGAGAACGACATCCTCGAGAAGCAAGGTCGAATGCGTACGAGATGTCATCGCCCCAGCAAGACTTTTGCTCCAAAAGAAAGTCACCACCGCA